GGGGGGAGGCAGAGGAGGGGCAGAAAAAGGTTCCGATTAGGTCTTTCTAAAAATCTGTTAATCAGTGTGTGAAGATGGAGCAATTCTATTACAGTGGATGGAATACACTGATTGCTACGAAGTGGACCCATAAGGAGCTGATGGACAAACCTGATATCTTTTGGGAAAGAATACAGTTCAAAATAAGAGGACACTCAGGGCTATAAATCTTTGACCGACCCATACAGAATTTCCACTTAGCAAAATAAAATTTTCTAGTAGAATCCTTTCTAGCAAATATGCTCTGTACAGTATCAGAACATGATTGTTCTAAAAAATATATACAGATTAAGGACTAAAGTGTTTGAAATGTTGACAGGGATTCTTGAGTGATTCTAATCTTCATTCTGAGAACACATTGACATTAAGGGTGGGAGGAGACATTACTAAGCATGAGACAAAAATCATACCTTTCCTGCTGGGTTATGGAGATAGCCATAACAAGTCACAATTATGTTAATATAAAATAAGAGACAAAGACTACTTTAGGCAGCTGCAAGTACACTGTTCAGTATTCGTAATTATAATCAATTAGCAGCCTTATTTGGCAAAACTAAGTTTTGTGACTAAAGCATTTACTCTACATACAAAAGTTGTACTGGTTTAACTATTTTGGTATACAGGCAGTCCCTGGGTTACGTACAAGGTAGGGACTGTAGGTTTGTTCTTAAGTTGAATTTGTATGTAAGTCGGAACTGGTACATATTGTAGGGGAAACTCTAGCCAAACATTTCTCCAGAGCTCAGTTTTATTCTCCCACACCTCACTTCCCTCAGTCCTTTATTCTCAAGCTGAGGTGTCTGCTGAGAAACGCCACTCCGCGTCTCCCTGGTCTGCTGGGGGGAAGCAGCTAGTGCGGGGTTGCCTCACCCCGTTTGTAAGTAGGGATCCGATGTAAGTTGGATCCATGTAACCCGGGGACTGCCTGTATGCGATGTATGTGTGTGTTAGAAGAGGGAGGAAGAAAGGAAACTATCATCCTTTTACTAACGTTGACTCAAGTGAAGTATATATTCATAGATGTGCACAGAGACTGCTGGCAGATAAACCCATGCCTGAATTATCCACAGAGTGTGATTCCTCATGTCCTACGAAGTTATCTGTTCCTAGTGGTTTTCACTTTCAAGAAAACAAGGAAACCAAATCAAAATGTTTGTCATTCCCTACAGTACTCGCTTAAATGCAGAGGAACAACAGTGAGAGGAGGAAGGATTTTGCCCATCTATGTAAGTCTTCAAAGGGACACAAGTCACAATAACTCAATACACGACCTCGAGGAGATGAAGTTAGTGTGGTAGTGACCACCTCTACTACACAGCACCTCAGGGGAGCATTATGAGGTTGGAATGAACGATGCTGTATGAGGAAACATTTTATTCCAGATGTTTCCTTTAACTTCCCCCAACTTTTTACCTCCTTGAAGCTATCCTCTATTTTCTCTTAATTTCTGTGTGCGTGCAGCTATCCTCTATTTTCTCTTAATTTCTGCGTGCGTGCACGCGCAAACGCGCGCGCACACACACACACACACACACACACACACACACACACACTTCAGAAAGTGATTATATGTTCTTACCAATATTAGGATGCTTCAAAAGGCGACAGATCCTAGCTTCCCTTTCCAATTTCTGATGATCTGCAAGAGAGAAATAAAATCATTTTTTTTTTTAATCATGAAATAGCACGTCACTATGTGGTACTACTGAAAGCTGAAAAACATGTTACAATATGTGACATGGTTGTTAAAACGTATCCTCCTTCTTAGAATCACCATGATTGCATATTTAAATTGTGTGCCACACTGAATCAGGGTACTACATCCATCCCTTGCTTTGGCTTGTTGCTCAGCCTACCATGGTTTGAGCAAATCAAAATGCTCTCTCAGTGGGAGATGGGACGTGTTCACTCCTGGACCTGTAATTATCAGATGCTAAACTATGATTATAGAATTAATCAGAATGAAGACAGACCTGACTCAAAAAATTCTAAACCTAAGCTATTAAGTGATGCCAACTGTCTTAAGTGTATCACCAAAATTAAGTGCTAATATTCCAATGTAAAGACAAACCTTTTCAACATACTAAGGAATTCTAACAATACATTGATGGTATAGGATGATTCAGTAGTTAAATGATCAACAGCAGTATCCCTCCCATAGCACCTACCGTATTTTCCGGCGTATAGGGCGACTGGGTGTATAAGACGACCCCCTATCTTTTTAATTAAAAGATAGGGTTTCATCTTATACCCCAGCGCCCCTCCGCCTCCTTTGCTCCCGGTGTCCCTGGTCTGCTGGAGATGGTCCCCAGCAGACCAGAGGCACCGGGAGCAAAGCCAGGA